GCCGTCTGTGTAGAGCAGGTGTGCAGGTCAAAGAAGAAACATCAAACTTCAAAAAGACAGAGAATGGTCAGAAACCCCGGCCCTGACCTCAGAGACAGAAGGACACAGACGCCATGGCTGCAGGTCACATTACACATGAGCTCACCGTCCCGACACAGACCGTCTGTTGTGTCAGTACTCTGAGACACATTCATCACTATCAGACACGTGTACATGCACAAGGTTTTCATGAGGGGTGAGATTTTTAAGATGTTTCACTGAGACAGCAGTCCATCATCATCATCATCATCATCATCATCATCATCATCACTGAGGTCAGAGGTTATTATCATTATTATTATCACCGTCCACATCAAGTCACAGATGGAGGAATCCATATTTAGTCAACATTATATCAGTGGAAACGGGATGTTGTTACTAAAATACAACAAGTGTAAACAAAACAAACCATTCAAGTCTGTTTAAAAGACTCGACTGTCACGTGGTTCTGTTGTGATTCAGAAACAAACAACAAACAACAAACAACCAAGTAAAAGCAGGCAGAACCGACGCGGACATTTCCTCTGGACTCGGTCTGTGGTAAAAGAGCTTAATTTAAACCGTGTCTCCACCAGTCTGTATGAAACACAACCAAGCAGATGGCATAAAGCCTTAAAATAGACTAAAGTCCACGATGCCAGTGCTCGGAACATAGTTTGACCTTTTAAGGAGGCCAAAACATATTACATTACTTTCAGATAAACGCGTCGTATTCACGAATTTACCTTAAATCCGAAGTAGATGTTGAATCTGAAGCGGTTGTGTCGCAGGTTAAGGAGAAAATAACGGACACGAACGGCGGGAAACAGCCCTTACCTCGTTACACCGACCAGCTGCTCAAACCCGTCACGTCACGTCACGTCACGTCACTTCACTTCACTTCACTTCAATTCACGTCACGTCACGTCACTTCACGTCACTTCACTTCACTTCACTTCACGTCACAATTTCTCCCGAACTCACTCAAAACACCAGACTTTTCCCGAGTGAAGGATCTAAACTCAGCAGCAGCAGCAGCCGGA